TTCATCTCCTTCGCCCCCTCCTCTGGGCCCCTGACTCTTTCTGTAGCCTTTCTACTGCTCCTTGGCTCCTTCTTACTGCTGTCTTTCAGCCACACCCCTAATCTTATGGTAGGTCAAGTCTAACACCTAGCCTTCTCGGATAGGGGCTAAAAAATCTCGGAGGTTCTGTTTGCAATTTGCGCACGTTAAAGATAACGCGGTGGTCCAAAATCGATAAGAGTAGGCTTCCCCGCCACCCGAGCAAAATTCAAAATTAATTCCTACAAAACAAAAAAGAAATGTTTAATGTGTCCCGCATGCTCATATGACCTTATGCAGTTTGCGAGTGCCGTAAAACACTTACCAAAAAAAAAAGGGTTCTGGACCCACTTGTTTCGATTCTACCAGAAATGGACGTTACGCTCACAGCTGTCTGTACTCAATGCATACAAATTGCCAAAAATAGACGTAGTCTTTACTTCATGAACCTTGACCCGTATAATTTTTTGTGAAGTAATCTTATAGTGTCAAAAAGAGATGTAAACTCATACCATAGCATACAACACGACGACTGCGGCAATCTTTTGGCTTAGGTCTATCAAGCATAAACGTTAATTTCAAAGTCTTTACCTCAAAAGTATAATAATAATTATCTTTTCATAACTATCATTATCATATTATTATTACTACAGTATTATCATTATTATTTCTTTCAACTAGTATTATTGTCGTTATTATTATTACAATGGCAATCATAATCATCATAATGACAGAAATAGAATTAGTGATGGTTATGTAGACTAATTAATATCGTTTTCAATATTAATGATAATAACAAAAACATCTGTATAGCGCATATCCCCGCTCGACAGCAAGCTCTATGCACTGTACACAATACATTATAACCCCTGCAGACCATAGAACACCCAGAACCATTCTCAGCTTCCCGGGAAGCATACAGTGCAAGCAGCCGATTTAGTGCTCAAGCACTAACAAACTGACAAGATTGTTCACTGCCTACAGCTTATTATTATTACATTAATAATTCAGAATGGGCGGTTGGAAAGGAATTTGAACCCATACTAGACTACACACAATGCTGAGCCTGTACTGCGTAAGCTGACAAAACGCCTTTTTTTAACAGCAGTATCGAAAGGGGGGGGGGGGTTGTCGGTGTACCCATTTAGAAATACTTTCTTCCGAAAACTAAATTCTACTTTATTTTTAAAAAACTAGTCAGTTTTATTATGATTTTTTTTCCACAAAAGTTGGGTAACTGATCAGGCTTTCGATTTGATTTACTAGTAAATTAAAACAAAAATTAAATTTGCACCAACAATGAAAAAAGCCGTTTTATCAGCCGACGGCAGTGTAGGCCTATACCTGTGGAGACAGAGAGGAAGGTCAGCCTGACCCCGCCCCCGGAGTTGAGCACGTTGGGGCCTGAGGTGAACTGAATGAACAAGAACCTTCCAGAACTCTGGAAGGTCAGAGGCGCCTTCTCCTTGTCACAGACAGACCCTAGCTTCTCGTCATCGTATGGCGTTTTCCCTGAGAATAATAAAAAGAAAAAATACTGTTGTCATGATCATCATCGTCATCATTGTTTGGAAAGCAGATTGGGACGGAGAGTCTTGCTTGATTTTAAGACAAAAAAAATCATATAAAAATATAAAATGTTTAAAATTTGTTTTATTGAAACAGCTCAACGTTTCGCCTCTTAAAATAAAAAATAAAGATAAATTACACTTTTATTTGTCCCTGAAGGGCACTTTGTTTTACAATGGCAAACATACATACATAAATACATAATTATAAATACGTACATACATAAATACATACATGCATAAATACATACATAAATACACACTATTACACAAATACAGAACAGTTTACAAACAATGCCACAGTCGGTCGCCACTTGGGCTTAAGGTAGCAGATCGTTATCATCATCATCATCATCATTATTATCATCATTATCAGCACCAGCAGCACCAGCAGCACCATCAGAAGCTATAATAATAGCCGGGTTATTGCCCTTTAAGTGGGTCTTTTTTTTTTAAAGACACGCTGTACTTCGTTAAATCAAATAAAAGTGTTTATTTATAGCTTCATGCCAAGGGTTGTATGGCATCCATTGTATTCTACAAACCACACGATTTTGTCAGTTTGTTGATGTTTGAGCGTTTTATCAGCCGCTTACACTATATGCTTCTTAATAATAATAATAATAATAATAATAATAATAATAATAAGAATAATAATAATAATAATAATGATAATAATAATAATAATAATAATAATAATAATAATAATAATAATTATTATTATTATTATTATTATTATTATTATTATTATTATAATAATAATAACATAGTGTAAAGTGCATAGAGTTTGCTGTCGAGCGGTGATATGCGCTTTATAAATGATGATGATTATTATTATTGTTATTATTATTATTCCTATTATTATTGTTATTACTATTTCTTTTATTATTATTATTATTATTATTATTATTATTATTATTATTATTATTGTTATTGTTATTACTATTATTATTATTATTATCCTTATTATTATTATTATTATTATTATTATCATTATTATTATTATTATTATTACTATTATTATTATTATGTGAAGGTTTCTCACCATCAAAGACGTGGAGAGCGAAGTTATAGCAGTTGTTGGAGCCCACCATGTCCACGTGTGTGACCTCCAGACGTACCGCTTGACCCGGGCCTGACTTCAGCAACCACTGACAGTTGACACCTCTGGGGAGAAAAAGTATTTTTGAAAACTTTAAGTAGACATACTTAAATTATTTCAGAATGTTTAAAGTATTTCAAAAACTGTTTAAAGTTTTAAGTGTTAAAGAAAGTTTAAAGTATTTCAGAGACTTCATTGTACATGTTTTCGGAAAACTTAAAGTACATGCAGGTCTTTTCAAGAAAATTAAAAGGTTTTCATAAAATTCAATGGACAGCAGACATTTTAAAGTATTTCAGAAATTTTAAAGTGTAACAAAAAGTTTAACATAAACGGAAAGTTTAAAGAATTCCTGAAAGTTTTAAGTATTTCAAAAAAGTTAATGTACCATAAAGAGTTAAAAGTGCTGTATTGCAAAAAGTTTAAAGTATAATAGATAGTTTTACGTGTTTCAAGGAGTTTGAAGCATAACAGACAGCTTAGAGATTTACTCCGATAATTCAACAGCAAAAAGAAGGTAAAATGTGCACTTTATTCCTTCTAAAACGCTCATTAAATAGATTATTTAAAATCATGATAGCAATTATCCCAAAAGATTCCAAAAGTTGATTTTTTTATTCATGGAAATAATATAGATTTGACTTGTTATGTTGAAAAAGGAAGACTGATTTCAAAACCCTGATAATCATGCAGGGTTAATTGGCTCCTTCAGTTCTAAAAAGAAAACATCTGTATTTCTTTGAAAACTTTCTTATGTGAACAAAGGTAATAAGTAAGTGGGTGGATGGCAGGTGCTCTGGTGTGGTTTGCTCCTTCTTTCCTATCAAACATCTATCGTCCTTATCTCCCCTCGTTCTTTTTTATGTTTGTAACTCTCTTGTAACACCTCTAATCTTCTGGCGCTCATATGACCTTATGCAGTTGCGAGCGCCGTAAAACCTCTACTAAAACTAAAACAAAACAACAAAGGTTATAAAACACACGCATGCAATGACCAGTGCCTTTACTCACGGGGCCACCTCAAAGGGGTAGTAGGGAGTGGTGATTTCCTGTGGTTCGGACTGCGCTGTGAGCACTTTGGCTTGCTGGGAGTAGCAGTGGGTGTATTCTGGGGGAGGATAGGGTAGACAATAAAAAGGTGATTTTTTGTGTGGGTTTTTTGTTGCTGAGTTTATTTTTTGTGGGGTTTTTTGCTTGATCATTTGTTTATTCAATCATTTATCTGTTTGTTTATTTCATCATATTTCCTTGTAAATTTGGGTTTTGTTTATTTGCTTATTCAATCATCAGTTTGTTTGTTTGTTTAATCCTTTGTTTTCTTGTAAATGGAGTGGGGGGGGGTTGTTTATTTGTTTATTTGTTTGCTAAAGAGTTAAGAGTTGCAGTGAGTTGTTTCTGGGATGGGCTGAGCAGAGGGAGACTGTAGTCAGACCAATTCTCGTGAGGAAAATATGTAAGAACATAGAACTGCGATGGCGACATGATCATCATCATCATAATCATCACCACCATCATCATCATCACCACCCACAACTACATCAACATCAACAATAACAAAAACAACAACAACAATAACAGCAGTAACAACAACAACAAAAATAATAATAAAACAACAACATCAACAACAGCCACAACAACAACAACAACAACAGCCACAACAACAACAACAACAACAACAACAACATCGTCATCATCAACAACAATAACAGCAAAAATAACAACAAAAATAACAGCGAAACAACAACTACAACTTCAGTAACAACAACAAAGAAATCCCGTCCAGATCAGCAACAACACTTGTATAATAGCCACACAACTTACTGGGCACAGCTTCTGCCTGCAGTCGGAACCCGCTGCCTTTGGCCACGTCAAAACTCCCCGACTGAAACACCAGGTACAAGATCTCTTTGGGGCTGGTGAACTCTGTGACCCCGCCGGCACACGCTCTGCCCAGGTTACGGGGACGTGTGCTGAAGGCTGTGGGATACAGAGAAGACACTTCTAGTACTTCTACTTATCTTTTGTTTGTTTTAGTAGAGGTTTTACGGCGCTCGCAACTGCATAAGGTCATATGAGCGCCAGAAGATTAGAGGGGTTACAAGAGAGCAACAAACATAAAAAAGAACAAGGGGAGATAAGGACGATAGATGTTTGATAGGAAAGAAGAAGCAAACCACACCAGAGCACCCGCCAACTACCCACTACTTATTTTTTACCAACTTCAACATAAGTTAAGTTCCACTAGCAAACACTCTGAGTGGTCTTATTGGGTTGACCTACACGTGGGCGTTCTTGGACTACTAATCCAGTGGCTCGATGGAGCTGCCTCAAGCGGACAATGACAGAGTGTGACACCGCAAGCCTTCTGGCAACTTATCGGGCTCAAACTCCATCTTGCAGCCATGCCATAGCTCAGGCACGATCAAAGTCTCTCAGCTTTCCTCTTGGTGGCATGTTGATGTGATACTGGATTATGCGCAAACAGCGTTTATATTGCCACCAGAGTGAGCATAGTTCGAGACTATACGTCCGTTTATGACGTGCACCAGAAAGTTTAACTGGAGAATGTTGCCCACAGGTCGATAAGAAAACAGTAAATTTGGCTAAAATTCCCCGAGGATTTCCGTGCTGCCCGTGGCGGTTTTGTCCTTTTAGGGAGCTTTGCAGTACGCATTGGTTATCCATTTAACACTTTCAGAGCAAAACATTATGAAACATTCCTTTCTGTCTTTTTTCCGGATTTAAAAAAAAATCGAGGCTTTCTGTCAAGGTGGTCTTTAACTTATGTTGAAGTCTGTATTAAAAAAATAATAATGTTTGTCTTCTTGTTTGGTAATGTTTGTTTTTGGTAGGTGTTTTACGGCGCTCGCAGCAGTATAATTATGGTCTTATGAGCGAGCGGTACACCTTAAACATTTTTGGTGTGTTAAGAATTAGTTTTGAATTTTATGAATAAATATACAAACAAACAAACATACACACTCTCATTGATACACTCACGCGCGCGCTCACACACACACATACTCTCTCTATCTCTCTCTCTCTCTCTCTCTCTCTCTCTCTCTCTCTCTCTCTCTCTCTCTCTCAATTTCTGATTGTCGGATTCTCTCTGTACCTACGACCGTTACTACTTTCTATAAAAAGCCACAAAGCACTGACCATCAAAGACTTCCAGTGTGTTGTTGTCGTCATCACACGACAGACTGTTGTCAAGGATGCTGACACGTATGACGTCACCCTGGCGGAAGACTGTGGAGAACTCATAAAAACAATGCTGGTATCTGAAAAAAGAAATATAGCGAAACAACATTTATTTCTAACGTTTTTGCATGTGCTTTTTGAAAGGAAAGATGTTGCGTGGGGTTTGGGGGGGGGGGGTCTGCTTGTTTGTTGTGGGGTGGGGGGAGGGTTGGGGGAGGGGGGAGGGTTGGGGGTGGGGGGAGGGTTGGGGGGTGGGGGGCAGTGGATGTTTTTTGGGTTGTTGTGGTTTTATTTTGTCATTTTTACATTTTATCAAACTCTAACTAGAAGTTTCTCATTATTTGATTTATTTCATTGAAGTATAAAACAACAGCAACCACCTTACCAATAGCAATTACAGCAATAAAAGCATAATGAAAGTTGTTTTCTGAGCAAATCAGCCCGACCCTCTCGTGTACAGCCATTAACCAATGAGAAACGCAATAAGGGGGAGTAACTGACAGAATGGCTTAACATGTGTGTATATTTCTTATTATAGCCCTTTCAAAATTAAATGTTGTTTATGAATGTACTCAAAATATCATGCAGACAGAATTGTTTTTATTTTGTTTTGGAGATGTTCTTGAGGGGAGGGGGGTCTTTCTTTTTTATAGTTTAATGAAATACGTTAGTATTTATCTTTTAAAAAAATAAAATACGTGTGTACTAAGATGTATAGGGATAGAAAAGCCAACATTCCTAATTCCTCCAGACAATAATAAAACTGGAACTGAACTGCTTTGAGCATTATATCAAACGCCATGATTCACTCGAGGAACACATTCTGAAAGCAAAGGTGGAAGGCGAAAAGGGGGAGCGGTGTGGGAAACCAAACAGGAGATTGGAACGAGACACAGAAACATAGCTTAGAACCTAAGAGCTTATATAATAATAACAGATGATACTAGAGTTCGCAGCAGTGACGTCACACGTGCCAGACATGGGGGGTTTCTCCCTCTTCATCAAGGCCAGGGTGCCCCCATTTACATGAACAATCTGAGACCCCTCTCCGCTCCCCACGAGCTCTTGTAGGCTATAAAAAAATAATTATTAAACACCACCCTGTCCCCATATTTCAATGCAGGCTTGTAGATTTCCACCTGGGACCGCCGAGACGCCTCCACGTGAGTCTCGAAAAGTACTCACACATCTGTTGAACTGCGCATGTCTTGCTCTTGAGGTTCAGCGTTCCAGAGTGGGCACACGCAGCCCCCTACCCCCTCCCCCTCCCCCTCCCTCTCCCCCGGGGCGTTCAAGTGGGGGACATCAATGCCACAAACTCTTGTACTAAATGTAACTCTTTTGAGCAAGAAATAGAAAAATAGCTTGAGGCCAAAACAACTCAGGCAGGCAGAATAATATCAAGAAACAGAGTGACAGAGTGCTTTTTTCATTTGTCATAGAGGGAAAGGGTGAGAGTGAGATTGATAAGCAGAGAGGGAGC